GGGTTGTACATGGGGAGCAGGGGCAGGGACTGGCACCCTGACCCCTCAGGGGGAGTATGGTCTGACACACCTATGTAAAATAGAAATATCTTGGTTTATTTTATGGTATTTTTTTTTCTTTCCAATGGGTCATTAGACCATTTCTGCCCATTTTATACCCAATCCAGCAGCTCGCACTTGTTTTATCAGTGTGTGTGTTTTATCAGTATGTGTGTGAGAGAGAGAGAGGATAGAGAGAAAAGATTTTCATGGACAAATCTCTCCTTTAGTAAAAGGAGCCCAGCTTGGAAATTTCTTCACAATAGCAGAAATACTGAATTTCGGTAACTGGTTTGGTATCCTCCCCCCGCCCCCCCAAGTATCTGACTTGAAGCAAGTGAAAAGCAATTATATACAGAATGATAGACTGAGCTGGGATCACACCACACAAACCAAATGGAGACCATCAGCTTAATTTAAGCCTCATTGAGTTAGACTTGATAAATCCCCCCTCTGCTTCTCCTGAGACCACTATATTTTCTATTTTTATGTGCATATCCACATATAGTCAAGAAAAAGCATTTCTAAGATTTGCTTCTCCGGTACATTGTGGAGTAACGCAATTTGCAGCTGAAACAACCAAAAATCATTTGTTTGTCCTTTCTTTTTACACAGTGTTACTATTATGCTACTCAGCGCAGTTGTTTGTGTCCAAAATAATGAATCACACATTTCTCTTATGATCATGATCATCTAGGAATGGAAATAAGCTTTCCAACTCATTATTTCAGCAATACAAGGAGTCTTCCCAAGTCACAGAATCACAGAATGTTGGGGATTGGAAGGGACCTCGAAAGATCATCTAGTCCAATCCTTAAATAAAAATAATTAAAAGAAAGGTGAAAACCAAAGGTATAAGAGTAGATCACTGAATTTTGGTGCTGGCAGAGCTTACGGCACTAAAGCTCCCCAAACCTGAAATTACAGCTTCTGGCTGTTCAGCTGCACAAAAGGACTGACAAGGTTAAAAATGGGGAGGAAAAAAAGAAGGCTATTTGGGGTTTTTGGAGAAGTGTGACCTGTTAAATATCACAATAGTTTTGGCAAGCAGCTGTTCATTGTGGTGCCTGTTCTCATCCAACTGACCGCAGCCAAAGGCAAGCTTGGGTGAGCTCACGTGGATATTTTCAAAACCTGATCATAAAATCAATAGTTAGATGTGAATAAGTGGTCTTATTTTTAGAGTTAATAGGCCTCTGCTATTAGCACAGAGCAATAGATCTCCATGCTCAACCAGTCTGACAGTGCCTGGGGGGTGTGTAGAGGTACTGAAATCCAACCATTTATTTGGGTGCCTAGAAAATAATCTGAATTTAGATGCCTTTCCCTCAGGATTTGAAAAATATAGGTCTGTGTACATTTACAGTGCTATATAAATTCTTCGCAACAGTACACAGCGCTGTATGCATGATTAATGATAGCAATAAGCAGGGGAAAATTTTGCTTAAAAATAGAATTGAAGAAGGAGGAGAGGAGTGTGTGGGGCTACCTGCAGGGAGGTGGCATGCACACCTCTCCACCTACTCTGAATTTAGCATCCTGTAGCTAAAGGAAAACCAGCTGGAGTACTTTAAAATGATTTTTTTTGTAATTAATATTTTTTAAAAGGTATGCCAGCAGGGTTTATT